ATCCAAGCAGATGATCCAACCCAGAGTAACCAACTCATCCCATTCTGACCTGTTGGCCACTTAAACTGCCACGACGAAATAAAATTACATCCTATCAGCCAGGATTTTACTAAACTATTCATAGGAAGAAAAGCTACAGCACTACTTTCAAGGAACTTAAAACCTAATTGAGAAAACAAAAAGAAGCATCCATTAAATTAAAGAATATGAAAATTACACATTAACTAGCACTAGGTTGTATGAGGGTGACGATGCATGCTGTGGGGGAAAAATTTTTTATTAGAAGATCAAAGGTCAAGGAAGGTTTTGAGGAGGAGGCTGAACTTACGTGGACCCTCAAGTAAACTGTATTAGATTTTGGACTAGCAAGCATGGAGGGGTCTCAGGAAGTGGGTCAATGAATAAGAAGAAACAATGGGAAAACTTAAGATTTAATACATTATGTTAAAGAAAATGTCTTCATCGAAGAGGTGTTTAGAGAACTTACAAAAAAAATCTAAAAACATCCTCCCCTGGGCATTTTCCCACTGTGTCAGTATCATGGTTCCCATTGGGTTCTTTAAAAAGTCCTTTAAACTGAAGATGACACTAGAACCTTCTGTTTTATCTAAACTTTCATTTTGAGGTTTTCTAACTGATCAAAGGCTTATCTGGACCTGGTCAATGCCAGAGAAAGTCAAATCTATTGTCTTCTTTTTCTGAGTTCTAACAGAGAAAATGGGAAATGAGCCCTGGGATGAAATAGAGACCAGGAAAATCTAATATTTTATTTGTTGGTTGGTTGATTGGTTTGTTAATCCATCACAGTCCCATCCTCCTGAGAGTCTGGGACTTCATGATTGATGTGTATATTTTGAAGCTTCAAGATTATATGTAGTTAAAGCATCTGAATGGCAGGAATTTTATTTTCTCATTTCAAATGTTCTGTAATAAAGTATCCAAGTCTCAAAGCCAGTTACCAGTGTAATACTGTAGATATGTTCTGGATCGTCTGATAAAGAAGGGCATTCTTCTAGAAATGGAGTAGGGGCAACCAGTTCATTCCTTTTTTTTGTTTGTTTTGTTTTTGTTTTGTTTGTTTGGTTGGTTGGTTGGTTTTTGTTTTTAGGGGTTTTTGTTGGTTTTTTTTAGAAAGGGTCTCACTATGTAGTCCAGGCTGGCCTTGAACTCACTATGTAGCCCAGGCTGGCCTTGAACTCATGGCAATCCTCCTGCCTCAGCCTCCAAGTGCTGGAATTATAGGCATGTGCCACTATGCCCAACTCCTGGTTCATTCCTGATCCATTAAGTAATGTTCTTTACCTGCTTAGTCTCCAGTCTCAAAAATGAAAATAATGAAACTTTTTATCTATAAAAAATAGATCTTCAGGTTATAAAAACACAATTATTGTTTGATAGACCACAGTGAGTGGACACTATCACATTTCAAAGATTCCCAATTGGTCTTAAATAAAAACAGACTGAACCAATTTGTTGGAGCACGATAATTTTCTACATTCTCTGGCATTTTTCAACCTTTTAGGAAACTAGAAAACAATTAAAATTGTTTCTCTTTTCAAACCTCATATCAGAAACTAGTTCTAAAGTGAAATTCTTAAATAATGACCCAGTATAAAATAAAAGAACATTACATAGAAATGAGGGTCACTTTGTCAGGAGAACATCAAACCTAATTTTTTTTTTTTTGTACCAGGGATCGAATTCAGGACCTTCCGCTTGCGAGGCAGGTGGTGGAACCACTGAGCTAAATCCCCAGCCCTCAATTTGAATCTACTTATAATTTGAATCTACTTATGAATCAACCAAAATGTAGAAAGGAAGACAGGACAACTCTTTGAGTTTTTTGTTTTGGTTTTTTTTGTTGTTGTTCCTGGGGTGTGGGAATTGCTCAGGATTAAATCTAGAGTCTTTGCACTGAGCTACATCCCTAGATCCTTTTTTATTATTATTATTTTTAAACACAGGGTCTCACTAAGTTGGCCAGGCTAGGCTCAAACTTGTGATCCTCCATCATCTTATCAGAATACTGGGATTATGGGTACCTCCACCACCAGACTATACAGGCTTTTACATATTTTCCTTTACACTGTACTAACTTTAAACAAAAATGACTGAGAGAGCCATTATTGGATTTAAGATCTAGCTTCATTCAGAGTGGAGAACCTGGGCTGAACTTCCCCCAACAGATCACGTATAAGTGGGTAAAAAGAGAAGCTGACATAGGCAGGGTTTCTCCAGGGAATCCCTTGAAGAGCATACAGAAAAAAAGATTAGTACAGACAGAGAGAGATCCCATGATGACTTGTGGTTGCAGTGAGTACAGAGTTCATGATGCTTCTGACCTAGCAACCAGTGTTTGAGAGAACTGTATAAACCCTAAATGGAAGGAAAATAGAAAAGACTTCACACTTCCTAAGGAGCTGCCACAGCAAATTGATTCCCTGAGCCCAAGAAGTAGTGACAGTTCCAGAAAAATTAAATCACAGACTTCAGCACTGAAGCCCTTAAGGAGGCAGAAATGAGCCAGAGTTACAACGGCTTTCCCATCTCCTGTCACTTCCACCTTCCTCTTAACTCCACATCTGGGATGGCAGCAAGTGATGGGGCAAATAGAATTCAACCTCACGGTCGTCTGTACCCTGCTGCACATAAAGGAATAATCGTCAAGATTTAGGTTCCAAGGGCCGGAGATTTAGCCCAGTGGTACCGCTGCCTGCCTCGGAAGTGTAAGGTCCTGAGTTCAATCCCTGGTCCAAAAAAAAAAAAAAAAAAAATTAGGTTCCATAATTTCACTGGTTCCTCAAGGATCCTAAATTTTGCTCAACTTCAGAAAACCAATACTTCCCTCTGTTGGGAAAAGAAGAGACAAAAATGCAGAGAAGTCCCTGGATCACTTAATAGTTTCCATAATCCTATTATGAAGAAGTTTCCAACGTTTCATAGAGTCGGAAATGTAAGAATGGGAGTTGCTGACAACCAGGGATAAAATCTAGTTCCTTCCAATAAAACAGCCTTGAGATTCACAAATGACAATGAGGATGAAGAAAGTCCTGATAGCTATAATGGGCCAGAATAACCGATTACCATAATATGCTTCCAGAAGAAGCAGACTCAAGTGTTTAGGTGTCATAATCATTAGTAACTTAGGCTAAGCAGGATGATTATATCTACAATAATGCATGACATTAGCTCTTTTTCTCCACCAGCGTCTATGTGCTAATGAGAAAAGGAATGAGCAAATTTCATTTAGATCTAATATCTCTAAAAATGAAATTTTATGATTTTTATGTGTTCTTCGGAACAGTTTAATAAAACCACATTTTAAGATACCCTCCAAATTTTTCTGTGGAAGTAATCCCCAATCTGTAGGAAAACTCATCGTCAGAAAACCGAGGAAGACAAATGTAAAATGTTTTCTCACCTGCATTATTAGAGAAGCTTAATAATTCCTTTCACCCTTCTCTTTGGGAATTGCTCCAGGCAGGGATTCTTATCAGCTCCTCGGGGACTGTTCACATGCCATGGAGAAATTGGTTTTCCTAAGTTTATTTCCAAGGATTCTGTTTGACCCCACCCTAGAACTTACATCTTGTATAAAGTAAATGGCTTGGAAGTTACTCTTTTGTAATAAAGTCATAATTAGGACTCCGAATATTTAATCTCTTTTTATTATTTAATTTAATTTTAACAATTAAAGAAAATTAGAGATTCTGCCACATAGTCTAGCCATTCACATTAGGTGAGGCCAGTACCCTGTCAGAAGGCAAAGTCTGTGAACCTCGTGCCAAATAGCTATGTGAGCAAATAGTGAGATAAACAAGACATTCATGGAGACAGAGGTGGAGCTGGGCCTGGAATGAATCAGGCCATCCCACAAGAGTGGGTGTCTCCTCCCCAAGTTGCTCTCCGGGGCACAATTAAAACCACTATAAAAGGCCCAGCTCCTAGTTAACCAGTGCACTTGCCAGCAGTGTCAGCGAGCACTCGACTTCTTCCTCTGGTGAAGTGGGTAAGTCCCATTCTGTGGGGTCATGTTCTTCTGTATGAGTCTTCGTTCTTCATGCCATTGAGATGTTGGAGAACAGGGCAGGCTATATGTGCTAGAAGGGATGTGTATCTTACACTGAGGGCTGGCTCTCATTTATTCCATCTCACCTTCCTATGGCTGCAGCCATCACTTGAATAGAAACAGCCTTTCTCTCAAGGCTCTTAACTCAGTATTTTTGCACATCAGGAGATGATCATGTGTGGCTCTGATGGGTCTCATATTCCAGTAATTGCCATTTCAAAGTTTGCCAACCTTCTGGTCTCTTTTCATGTCTAACCCACCTCATATGGGCTTTCTTCATATAGTTAAGGCATCCTGAGGCACTGGAGTTGAGATGCAGATAAAGAAGTCATCTAGATGAATCACTATGCACATCCAGCCAGCAAAGCCATCCATATATTCTTTTAACATTGGTCTGCTGCTGGTTGATTTTTGCTTTGGTTTGGTTTTTGCAATCCTGGGATCAAATGTTGGGCCCTGTGCATGCTAGGCAAGTACTCTACTACTGAGTTATATCCCTATCCACTCATTTTTTGTCTAATACTAAGATTCGAATGGTTTGTTTGAGTTTAACAAAGGCAAATCAATATCATTCAAAGTTTTCCAGGTTTAGTTTGGCCCAATGACTCTAATAGCCAATCAGGAAAGATCTATCAGAATCTTTCAATAATTGAATTTGTAAATGTTCATCCTAAATGTGAGTTAAGCTTAAGGCAAGTAACATACACCCTGTTTTCTGCATTGATGGATATGAACGTTACACTGCCACCTTTGACTAGAACAAAATAGGATTTATTTTTAGAACTGATAACTTATGAATTACACTTCTAGATCTCTTATGGATTGTAATGTTGAGGAATAATTCACATTCGCTTTTTCATTTTTCTATTTGCTGACACATTTTGCTGGCACAATTCACTATACAAGGCTGTATCCACTTTAATGCACCCTCAAATCTTCCTTCACTTTAAGCTTTCACCTATCCTCTCTGTTTAAGTTTAAAGGTTGTTTATGGTAGCAATTTTAAGTTCCTTCACTCTTCACTACCTGCTCTAGGGAGAAGGAAATGATACGGATAATCTTGATTGGATAGACAATGAAAAACCAGCTGTAGGATAGACTGAAGATGATTTCCTGGCTTAGAACCTCTCAGGATCTCTCTCCCCTTTCCCCTGAATAAATGTTCAAAGATAAAAATGCTCTGAAAATCGAGATTAAATATAACTACTGCTGACAAGTGAAATTATTTAGAGATCTGCCTAAAACAATATGAATGAAGCCTTTCCAGAGGCAGAAACAGACTTTTGATTCTGGGTCCTACTTTATTGTTTTAGGTTTACTTGAACTTGAAGAAAGGAAAAAAATGTCTCCACTTCTGAGAAGCATCTTTGACATCACTGAAATTTTCAATCAGTATGCCTCACATGATTGTGATGGAGCAGCACTAAGCAAGAATGACCTGAAGAACCTCCTTGAAAGGGAATTTGGGACTGTCCTTCAGGTAAGGACAAGAAAAGGAAATCTCTCCACTAATTTAGGGCTATGAATTTTCTTCTCAGGAAAGATCAGAAAAAGGAATGGCGGCTTACACTCGTTTTGTACCATGACAATTCTACAATACCTCCTTCAGTCATTTCCCAATCTGAAGGTAGTTAACTGGCTTTGTAGACTTGAGCATTAACTTCAGATCAAGTATTTCATGTTACTTGATGGCATTATCAATGGGAATGAACTGCTTATGGAACATTACCATCAAAAGTATCAAATCAAACTAGAGTGGGAGGGATTTATATGTGCTTCCAAATTTCAGGAACTTGTGTGCTTTTGATAGCACTAAACTATTTTTTTAAAATCTCCAACGAACATATGCTTTGAAATGAGATGTTCACATTTTTCACAGGGAAACAAGTCTTGATATACACTGGGTGTTCTAATTGTTCTAAATGTCTCTTGAGTGTTGGCAGAGATAGCATAAGTGTCTGAGTGAAATTTTACTGCTTGTAAATAACATTTAAATTTTTTGTTTTTATCTTTTCATAGAGACCACATGACCCTGAGACGGTAGAAACGGTCCTGGAACTTCTGGATCGCGACACTAATGGACATGTTGATTTCAGTGAATTCCTCCTGTTCGTTTTCAAGGTGGCTCAAGCTTGTTATTACGCTCTCGGCCAGGCCGCAGAGCTAGACGAGGAGAAGCGAGTCCACGGTGAGAGAAGGCGGGACCTCTCACCAGATCGCAGGCAAGAAGACCAAAGGAAATTCGAGACGCGGGACAGACAAGTGGATGAAGAACCTGGTCGCCGACGCTGGCAGAAGAGGCAGGAACCGGAGAGTGCTGAGGGAGACCAGAGAAAGAAACTGGAGAGATCTGAGCAGCGCTCCTCGCAGCCCCGCGACGACGAGGAGCAGCGGCTGCCAAGGCAAAAGCTGGAAGAGCGCCAAGCAGAGGAACAGCTGTGGAGGGGCAAGGGTCGCGATGCGGAGGAGTTTGCTGAGGAAGAACATCGAAGGGAAGAGTGGCAGAAACTGAGAAGGGACCGCGGCGAGGAGGCGCAAGTGCCACGCCGGGAACCGGAGCCGCGCGAGAGGGCGCTCCAGGAGGAAGATGAGCGCCCACAGAGGCAGGAGCGGTCAGAGCTGAAGAGGGAGCGCCGAGAAGAGAGGCAGCTGCCGAGGAGGGAGGAGAGGCGCGAACAGCAGTCGGTGGCTGAAAAGGAGGAGCTGGCACAGGCCCGAGGACGGGATGACAGCCACACCCAGAGGTGGCACAGGCAGCTAGAAAGCGAAGCCGAAGCACGTCAGAGCAAGGTCTACTCCAGGCCTTGCAGGCAGGAGGAGCAGCTCCGCGACCTGACGTGGCAGCGGCAGGCAGAAGAAAAGGGCGGCAGGCGCCGCGAGAGGCCGCAGGAGCAGGAGCTGCGGCTCCGAGAGGAGGAGGAGCGGAGCCCGGAGCGCGCCTGGCAGCTGCAGGAGGACCGCGCCCGTGAGGACCGCCAGCAGGGGCAGCGCCGCGACCAGAACTGGGGGTGGCAAATAGAGGAGGAAAGCCAGAGGCGGCGCCAGAAGCTGTACGCCGGGCCGGGTCGGCGGGAGCAGCTGCGGGAAGAGGAGCAGCTGCTGCGAGAAAGCAGGCGCC